ACATAAATCTTTGTATTGACACCCTGCACAGCTGGATGGTGCCTCGGGTAGGAGGGAGCATAGGCTCGGCAGTCATGGAGCAGGAATCAACCCTGCTTGGCCATGTATTTGCCAAGTGATGAAAGCCACTCTGAGCCTCTCTAAGTGAGTTCCTTATTTGACATCTGGAAATCATAAATCACTTTCTTACAGGGCCTTAGGAAGATGAAATGAGGTGATGTAAATGCCTGGCCTGTAAGTATTAGGTAAGTGTTACCTTTTATTACTGCCTTGTTTACTACAGTAGCATTCTGAAAACCCTCTTATCCAGACAATGGAATATTATTCATTGCTAAAAAGAAATGCGCCATCAAGCTATAAAAAGACATAGAGCAACCTTAAATGCATTTTACTTACTGAAAGAAGCCAATCTGAAAGGCTACATACTTTGTGATTCCAATTATATGATATCCTGGGAAAGGCAGAATTCTGGAAACAGTAAAAAGATCAGTGATTGTCAGTTTAGTGGGAAAGGGCGGGATGAACAGGTGGAGCACAGCATAATTTTTAAGGCAGTAAAAATATTCTCAGGATGCTATAATGTTAGATGTATATCACACTACACATTTAACCAAACCACAGACTGTACAATACCAAGAGTGGCCCCCTCATGTATATTATGGACTTCAGGTGATAAAGATGTGTCAATGCAGGTTCACTGATTATAATAGATGTCCTCCTCTGGTGAGGGAGGGGCCAGGGAGCATATGGGAACTCAGTACTTTCCCACCAGTTTTGCTGTGAACCTAAAACTGCTTTCAAAAATAAAGTCTATTAAAAAAAACATCCTCTTAGAAGAGAAATAAATAGGACCTAAAATCAAATGTTATTATTAGAGAGCATGTACATGAAGGGACTTCTTCTGGGAGCTTAAGTATAAGGAAAGATTATTCTCAAGTGCCCATATTGTCAATACTCTTGTTGCCTCTTTCAGATAGTGTGTGTGTTGTGTTTGTGTGCATGAGCCCACACATGTACCACTGCTTTCTGCAGTCTTGGGAAACACTGCAATTAACCGATGGGGATTTGCTGAGGCTTTGGGGCTTTGTCACCTCAGGAGGCTAACTCCTCCACCCCAGATTTCCTCCCTGCACCCTCCACATCAACCTTGTAAGGAAATCTTACTTCATTCTTCAGTTTGCCAACCACATGATGGAATAGGCACAAATGCCAAGTCAAGTCCTAACTCTACCAGGCAGACTGAATAAGGCTTTGTCTCCTGGCAGTATGCTCAGGCCCACATGTGAGCCGGCTACAGGGAACAAATCACTATCCTACACTTTTCTTTTGCTGTGAAGCTTCTACAGGACTTAAGTGTTTAAATTCGAACCTTGATATTTCAATTGCAGGGTGGACATTCTTGAATCCTTCCTCTCAAGGTGCTCCTAAGCCCTGGCCTTATAGTCATTCAGTCTCCAGTTATTGGGCTCTGAAGCTGCTTTTTCATCCTTACACTGCCCCAGCTGTCCCTTCTGCCGTGGTTGTAATGGTTTTCTTGCCCAGCATAATGTTACCTACCGAATGATACATGGTACTGTGTTTTCTTTTTCTTTTTAATTGTGAAGTGAAAACTGCTACTCAGAGGGAAGAATCCATAAATGGGCTTCTGATATTCATATAAAAACAAAGAAGACCCTTCTATTGTGTGATTAGTCAGAAACACTGTGACAATATCTTTCAGCACAGAACCCTGCCCTTGTTGTCTATTCTTAAGTCTGTGTTTAATTTTCTTACTGTAAATACCTACTGTGGGTCCCAGGCCCTGAGCTTGTGCTATGTTATCGTAGTAGCCACACATTCTTGCCTGCATATGTTATCATGTATGGACCCCTTTAGTGTACGTATTTTGAGAATTTAGTTGGATAGGTATTCTTAATTAGGCTGTACCACAGCTTCACTTCTATGATGGAAAAGATATCCAGAGACAGCAAATCCTTTGAATTGTTTCACTGATATCTTCAAAGATTGATATAATTGACTATAGTTAAAAATTTGGATCCTCCCCTCCCTAAATTTGGATTCTTTGAAAAATATCTGGGATTCTTGGACACACCACTGCAGCATTCAATTAACGAAGGCACATTCTTTTAAAAGACAAACCACATAAGACTTGAGAATTTCCCAAAATTGGCAATGCAGTTTTGAAATGGTTCTTTTGCTCCACACTGTGCATTTTAATTGATGCCTAGATTATGATCTAGTTTGACTTCATTATCTGGTTGATGGAAATGCCTCGTGCCAATGTCACCTCCTCCAAGAAGACTATCCTGATTCCTTCCTTAGAGCCTATGTGGTACTTTGTCTTCTAGCACTAGCCCTATTTGGCCTCATTTTTACTCATGCCTCTACATTGTAAATCCTTCTTGTACAGGAGCTGCTGTAAAGTTTCCTTTGCTCCCTCACAGGCCAAGCCCAGCTTAATTCACGACAAGCCTTCAACAAACACTAATAAAAGAAACTGACCTGTCAAATGTATAGAATGAAGAGATGGCAAACTTCCCTCTTCAACCCTCTTCTACATTTTGGGGGGCAGGCACATTCTTTTGGGGACTGTGTTGTGCTCTAGTCCTGACTGGTTCTGTGCTGTAGACTCCACTCCCCCGTATGGTCAGATAGGTGTCCTACCCCAGTGGGATTAACAGTAGGAGATGGGGTGGAGTCTGGAATAAGTGGGACAACTACATATACATCATCTCCATGATTAAAAGGCAGAAAGCACACATTTGGTTAAGATATCCTACTGGGCAACAAGTGAAAACAGACCATATCAAAATACTTGTTGCGTTGCAGAATTATTTGATGTTTTACTATGGTAGGCCATTTCTTTCCTAAAAGGTCATTTAATGATTGTTCAACTAGTTCCCAAAAGGAAGGAGGAGGAAGTTGGAATCTCTTTCAAAGCAAGATAGGAAGGGAGGTGGCTTTAAATTCTGCATTAAATCCGGTTAAAAGCACACAGCTTTCTTTATTCTTTAGTAGATATTTGTCATGGCCATGCTTTAAGGGCAGAGTGAAACCTACTTGCTTGAAGGAAAAGGAGGGGGTAGGAAAACAAAGCAAAATAAAATAAATTAAACCTTTTTTTCTCCTTTTGAAAAGGGAGGGACTTCAAAATCATAATGTGTCAAATACGTCTTCCTCCTTCCTGAAAAGCCCTCCAAGTCAGGAGCGAAGGAAGAATACCTAAGCTTCTCTCAGGATGTTCAAAGCGCCTTGCAGCTGATTATTTTTCAGGAGGAGAATTAGACAAAAATAATACAAGCGGGAAATAAAGAGAATGACCTACTTTACAGGGGGGAAAAAGGAGCTCTGTGTGAGCGTTTTGATCTAATTGACGGTGTGGGGTTGCATGCCCAAATAAGGCACTGTTGGTCGGGTCTGCACAGGAGAGAGCCTGTCTTGAACTCGAGGAGGTTGAGGATAAAGCAAAAGGTCCTGGAACCCAGCAGGGAGTCGACCCCCAGTCCGCCGCCCGGGGTGGTGTTGAGAAGGCCCTAGGAGAGTCCTTCTGACCACAAAACCGAGTGTGAGAGAAAAGGACCTGTGGGGGCGCTTTCCTCTCCAGGGCTACTTGCCGGAATGTGCAAGGGACGGAGGGTCATCGGAATAAGGCTGCTGGGCGCACAGTGCTGGGCTTAGACACTGTCTGTACCTATGCGATGTCAGGGAAGGGGTAGAGGACCTCTCTCCTCGTCTGGGCTTTCCCCCAGGCGCCTCCATTTAGTGAACGCTGCCGCCGCGGGTTGAGGGAGGTCTGCGAGTCTAGGGGAACCGGGTCACGGTTCCGGGCCTCGACCGGGCACCTGGTCTCCCGACTCGGTCTCAAAGACCCGCAGAATATCAAACAGCAGCTCCCGGCTCCCGGGGACTATGTGCATCTCTTCTGTCGGGCCGTTGCGGGAGCCGTGGTGAAAGGCTCCTTGTTTCCTCGTGCGCCGCTCCAGCTTCTCTTTTCTTGGATTCTCGCCTGTCTCCTCCCACAGAGGGGGGAAAAAAAAAGGTCACGTATGTTTGGAAAAATATGTAGGTCAGTGGAACATTTCCTGCACTGGTACAAAAGGAGAGGAGGGCAGCGGGGAAGGGGACGGAGAGGCAGAGTGGAGTTCCGGTGGGCGCTCCTGGCAGCAGCTCCCACCCTACGTGCCTCCGCCCGGGAGTGGGCGCGAGGTAGGGGGGGGGGGGGCGCAATTAGTCGGTTCCTTTCCACCCTTGACCCGTTTTCCGGACAGGCTCTGTTCGCGCTGGAAGAAACGCCAATTATTTTCCCCCAGCAGGCGCTGCGGTCCTCCCCTGATGCGCGCTCGCCACCTTCTCCCCGGACCCCAGCGTCCCAACTCCTCCCCCCATCCCCTCCTCCGGCCTGCCGCTCATTGAGAAATCGCTGTGGTCCCCGCGCAGGGACGCGTCCTGTGCCCGGGATCTGGCTCTGCGCGAAGTCCGGCGCGGCCAGTACGGCGTGGAAGGGCTGAGAGTAGCGTGGTGGCCCCCAACGCACCGAAAAGCCGGGTAGCAGCGGGCCGGGCGAGGGTCTGCACCAGGCAGGGGAGGGTAGACTCCGGTTACCCCCAGTGACAACTTCAGCGGGACCTCAGCTGGCAGCCCCGCATCCGCTTGCTTCCCCTCTCAGCCAGTTCACCTCTAAGCACCCCCACCAATACACACACCGCACGCAGTCCCGACCCTGCGCCCCAGGCCCGACGCCGCGCGTCCCCGGCAGCCTAGCAGAGGCGGAGACGGCTTCGGGGAGAGGGAGTGTCTGCGCCGCCCAGGGAATTTGGGGGTCGGGGGTCCATCTACCCAAATGGAGCGAGGGGAGCGAGTCCCAGGCTGGTTCGCGGCCGGGGCCCGGCGGGCGGCCAGGAGCGAGACAGCCGCGCGAGCGCAGGGCAGGAGGAGGACGAGGAGGAGGAGGAGGGAGGGAAGGCGGGGGAGAGGGAGGGAAGAGAAGGGAGGCGGAGGGGGAGGAGGAAGAGGCGCGGCGGCGCTGCCCGCCGGCTCTGCGTGCGGAAGAGTTTGCCGCGCGAGCAGCCAGCCTCCCGCAGGAGCCCAAGAACCCGCGCGGCTGCAGCCCGGGAGCAGCGGCCGCGTAGCTCGCAGACCCGCAGCCGCGGCGGCGGCGGCGGCGGCGGCGGCGGCAGCAGCAGCGAGTGCAGCGCCTCCCGCCGCCGCCCGGGAGGACCTCGCCGCGCCCGCTCGCCGCCTCTACTCCCAGCGGCGGCGGGAGGCGCGTCTCCCCGGCCCAGTCCGCGCCCGGCCCGGCGGGGCCGCCCCGGCCCGCTCCGAGGTAAGGGGCCGCTCTCGGGGACGCGGGGGGCCCGGGGTGAGAGAACGTGCTCGCGGGGTCGCGGGACTCGGTCACCTGCTCGCCCGCGCGAAGGACGCGCGGGGCGGGGAGCTTCGGCTCCGAGCTGCGCAGCGCGGGAGTCAGGGGCGTAGGGTGGTGGGTCCCCACACCCACCCTCGGGTCCCGCTGCCCCGGACGTCCCTCCCGAGGACTGCCGCAGCGGCCAGGCTGGTGGGTTCGGTGTGCGCCTCGCCGTAGGAGGCAGAGGACTCAGCGCTCCGAACCTCAGGATTTGAGGGAGTTCAGAGTCGGGGTGGATAGAGGCCGTGCCCAGGTAGCAGCCTTGTGGGTTGCCCATTGGCCTCCCTGAGCCCCATCGCGCCCCCTCTCCGAAGCTGGGGGTGCCAGGGACCCTGGAGAGTGCGGCGTCCGCGCCCCGGGCCCGCGGTCTCTCTAGGCCCCTAGGTCGGATTTGGTTCCGGGCGAGATTTGGAGCCCCGTCTTCCCTGGACGCTGAGGGAGCGCGCAGCCTAGCTCTTGGCGTCGTCTTGCCGCAGGAAGCTCCCCGTCGGATGCCAGCGTGTTCTTTTGCTGGGAGGTGTGCCCCCTCCTCTAACCGAGGAGGGAGGAGCGCCTTTACCTGTCAGTAGAGACGCGCAGGTTCGGAATCCGGGAGCGGGGGAGCCCCGATGGGTACCAAAGGACTAAATTGAAAACCAGCCTTGCTCATCTGCCTGCACCTCCTTAACTGCTCGAGGTAAGAAAGTTTGTTTTCAGCCCCGTGCTTCATAAATAATTAGTAACAACTTTTGTTGATGAAACATGATGGAAACCTTAAAAATACACACACATTTCCATGAAGTCTAAAAACTCACGAGATTGTATTCAGGAGGTTTTAGTTCGGAAAGTTAAAAGCCGTGGAGTTCAACAGGTGTTGCGAAGGGGTCCGAGAGGGAAGAATTCCATCTGTTCCGTCTTTAGTACCTGCTGCGTTGGTATCTGGCCCCAAATTCCTTAAACTGGCTTGGCCTGTCTATTTACAGGTAAAATATTGAGTAGTTACTAAATTAACTTAGTTAGCAGAGAGAACTGGTCATTCTTGATAATTTAGAACCCCAACTTTCTTTTCCTTACTAGGAAGGCTTTCCGGTTTGGACTTCCCAGATAATTAGCTCTAAAGCAGTTCCTGGCAAGGTTTAGCTCTGTCCAAACCTCTACCTATCTCACACTCACATAGTCCCTGACCAGTGAATTAATTGACCAACTAATTATAGCTTGCATTAAAACAGAGCTGCCCTCTTTGGGAGGTGCCAGTTCAAAATTCAAGCGCAAGTACAAGCTCTTTCTGCTACTCAGATTTACTTAAAGGAAAAGCTTGCCAAAAATAACCCTAAAATGTATTTTTAAATTACTCCCTTTAAAAGAGTTATTCTGACTTGCGCCACTATTTTGAAAAGCAGAATATCTGTGTTTCATTATGCAGCTAAGCCAGGACCCATAGAAGTATTTGGCATTTCTCAGCAGTCTACTTAAAATTTAGTTAAAAATAAAGTATGCAATATAAAGCCATTCAGTGAGTGTATTCCATTTCACAGAGAGATGTGGAGTGTGGCTTAGAAGAATTGTAAATGTGCTGCTTTTAGGCATTTCCTTCTTAGAAATCAATGCCTGAATTTATTTGCTGATCTGTCCCACTGTGCGCAAATGTAGAATCGGGTTTATTTTCACTACTCCCCAGAGCGACTCCTGTGGAGTCAAGAGAAGGGAATACATGCTTGAGGAAGTATGTTACTAATAAAACGTTGCCCCCGAAATAGTTAAACATGCCAAGAAAAGAAATCAAGGGAGGCTTTACTAATGAGTATGATAAAAAAAAATCCCCTGATATAAGAGCATTCAGATGGTGGCTAAAGAATTCATCTTTATGTAGAAAATAATAATTGATTTTTTTTTTAGCTCATCTAGTTCTTTTAAGAGTTTGAGCCCTTTTTCTGTTTCAGTCTGTTTAATAATGAAATTAATTCAAAAAATTGTAAAAATGGTTAAAAATGACCCACATCATCTGATGTGTGTTGTTATTAAGTTAATTCATCTTATTTTTTGAACATTCTTTCTTAACTCTTGGTCATCTTTAGAGTAGCTCAGAATATGCCACTTCATTTTTAGGTTACAAATTCAAAATTAATGTGTTTTTTTTTAAGATTAAAATCATGCATATACTTTTTATATCACCGTCTTTATATGCTGATTTTTTCAAAGTCTTGCTTTGGAACCTTAAGAATCCAAAGGGCCAAGCCCTTTCTCTATTTTTTTACAAGTTTGTATTTTGTTTTTTACATGGAAAATCAAGTCTTTGCATTGTGATCAGGACACTGTCCCATGCACACAGTGACATCTCTTTTCCAAGAGAGGTCAGATTGTGAGGTGTTGAAAATAGCCCAATGACTCAGCATTCTTGGCTGCTTTACACCAATGATTTAATTGGCTGTATCAATAGAAGCATCTAATTGATTTTCACATTTAAATAGCGGAAATGATACTTGATGCATTATTTGCTTACAGAAACATTAAATTGGCAAGGTCCTGATCGCCTTCTACTTGTAGCAAAGATGAGATGTCAGACTGGCACATTCATACGCCCCACAGCACCTCTTCCCTATGAGGCCTTGTTCATAATAGGTGCTCAATAAATAGGTGTAGGAAATGAACTGAATTGCCCATGGTAGTCATGCAAAAGTTAGAACTTTCTGAATGCTAATGGAGTAACTAACTATAATTCTAATTTAAATTCAATGATGATTAATAGGACCTTAGAGCACTAAATAAACACTTATTAAATGTGAACATATGTTTAAAAAGGGGAATTTTTTTAATGCAGATTTTAGCTAAGGCACTATTGTTTCTCACTGAATTCTTTAGCATTGGCGACCACTTGGCATTTTAAACGAAGCAATCTCTTAGGTAAAATCACACAGAGATCGCTTGAATTTCTGCAGTAATAGAACAATGTGTGGTTTCTACTTGATGACTCAGAATAGAAAGAAGAGAGTTTATCTTCTACACTGATGTGAAAGAAAAAAACAACAAAGGTGTATTAAAGAAGGTAGAGAGAGGGTGCTGAACATTGTGTCACAAACTGCAGTGCACGTCATCACCTGAGGACTTTGTCAAATGCAGGTGCTGACTCAGCAGGTCCGGGCTCGGGCACAAGAGTCAGCGTTTCTTACGAGTTCCTAGGTCCTGATGCTGCAATACACTAACAAGGCTCTGGATTACACTTAGTTCAATTCAGCATCTATTTACTGAACATCTGTGTAGGCTCAGGTGATAGAAAAATAAAGAATATATGGGTCCTTTCTGTCTTCAAGGAGCTTACAAGATGAGGAAAGAGATTCTTTCTAGACTGAAAATGAGATCCTGGGCTGACACTCAGCAAGGTGGTAGCCAGAGAGGGGCCCAGGAAAGTGGATTTTCTAGTAGGGCACCCCCATTGCTGACCTTGACCTCTAGCTTTCTTTGACTGGAAAGCTTTGTGACTTGGCAGGAAATAAAATGCAGATACTGAAATCAGATAGACATAGGGTAACCTCTCTGCTTGGCTACTGTGTGATTTGGAGCAACTTTTGTAACCTCTCTAAGCCTCAGTGTCCTGGTCAGAAAAAGAGTGGGACAGACACTCACTGATAGGGTCACTGGTAAAGGACCCATAACAAAAGTGATTCCTTTTATTACTGTGGATGGGGAAGAGAGGGCTGGTTGGCACAGGGGAAGAAGAGGGTCTGAAATATTTTTCCCTGTAGTTCTCCAATTAGAGATTCAATTTGGTTGACCAACCAATCCAAGCTGGTAGTAGAGAACCGGGCTTGTGCTGGAATGTGGGCAGCTGTGGAAATGAATCAGATGCAAAATAGAGTTCCCAGGAGAGGACCACCTCCACTCTGCTCCTGCAGTGGCCTGGCCTCTGGTCAGCCTTGGTTATCCCTTTCTTGCCAAGGCTGTTCCTGGTACTTACCTTGCAGGTTCTGTTGATGAAGACTGGCTGGTATTTGTGGCAGTCAGGCACTCCTTAGAAATACGGTTCAGAGGGTAGGGCAAGTGCCTCTCCTCCTTGAAGGGCCTTGGTGCATTCCATGGTAGAGCACCTCCAAGAATTAAAGCCATCAGTCAGTCCTTTTCAGTTTAGCATGATTTGCCTGAAATTAGTGTAGGGCATGTTGGAATTTACCAGGTGTACTTCATACTCTGAGAAGATTGCTTCCCCCAGATATCCCAGGAGGATGGAATTCCAGTGCAGTGGTCTTCTTCATCCTGATCTTAAGAGAGAATCTGGGTGACACTTGAAATACTTCAAGCAACATTGAAGTATTGCTCTGTGTGTGTGTGTGTACCTTAGAGTCCCATTTATTGCTTGCAAATGAGATTTCTCTGCTACCACTCCCATTCCATGGTCCCCTAAAAGAAATAATGAAAACCAACCTGTAAGAGAATGGCAAAGGCAGTTGGATGTGTACGGGAAGGCAAAGTAAAAGAGTGATCAGTCAGCAGGGTAGAGGGGACCAAGGGAGGGAAGGGAGAGCGCCTGAGCATCAGACTGCAGATCAGAGCAGTGACAGGGCCAGAGGGTTGCAGGTAGGGTCCCCGGACCCAACTTTGTGGACTTTGCTGCTTTGCTGAAGGATATGGAAGGTCATGTTCCCAATCAGTGAAAATCATCTGGGCTTCTGGAAGAGCAAGCCCAAGTAAAGGGAGGCAGGTGACAGAAGTGAGGAGTGGGAGCCTTCCAGCCTCTTGTGAACCATGAATGGTGTCACACAATTTCACAAAGGAAATTTGTGCTCTTGAAAGTCAAAATATTGAGAAATGGAGAAAATTTTTTAAGTTACTACTTCTCTGTTATAAAAGTATATTTAATTTTTAGAAGGTATAGAAAAGAATGAAAAAAAATGAAGTTTCCTCACAATCTCAAGGTATACTTACTGTCAGTCTTTTTTTCTATGTATTAAATTTTTTTAATGTTAGGCTTTTGAAAATATAACCTTGTAAAAATTTCAAATAATCCATAACGTCTTATAGTTAAAAAAAAAAAAAATCCCCGTCACCCTTAGTGGCCTACCTAATAGTCATTGCCTTTTACCTGCCCAGCAAAAACCTGATTTTGCTCCTTCCTCTGTATGTCTCAGGTGAGTCCTGATTGGCCAAGCCCCTTTGGTAGACCTGCTGTCCTTGCTCATGATTGGCTCAGGGTGAGCATGTGGACCTCCTTGTGGCCAATAAAACGTGGTGGCTTCCCTGACCTTTAAAGGGAAGCAGGGGAAGAAACTGCCCTATTCTTCTCCTGGGCACAGGATGCCTGGAGGTGGGGCAGCCACTGGCCACCAGAGCAGGTGAGGCCAGGTCCTAGCTGACCCAAAGAATACAAGGGCAAAGAATGGGGCCTCCACAGTGTCCTTGACCAAGAAGGAGTCTGGTTTGGAACATTTGAGAGATCCTGACCACTTAAAGCAGGTTAAATTATGTCTTTTGTTATTAGTTGTAGCCAGAAGTGTCCTCATCCATGTACCCCACAACTCTCCACCTTCTCAGGACCTGATTAGTTAACCATGGGGGTGTATTCTGCTAGCCATTTTTCTGTGCATTTACACCGAAATATATATGTATCCATATATACATTTTCATTTTAAACAAACATACTCATTCTATGCATTATTTAGCAACTTTTTTACGGCATGAGATATTTTGGGTCATTCTTCATTTCGA